CCTGTAAAAAAAAAAAAAAAAAAAAAAAAAAAAAAAAAAAGAAATCACTCTTCAAAGTGACTATAGTTTCTTTCCATGTAGTGCCCAAATTTCAGCTTTTCAAGAATGCAAACTTTCTTTAGCTTTTACACATTTTAACAAATTAGTTCTTTGGTATCTCTAACTTTAAAGAGTAGAAGTCCTTTACTTTTGCAGAAGACAATGATGGAATTCTTTAAATATGTTATGGCCTCTGTCGATGAAACAAAAGGTGTCCCTTACACTATCTCCTACTCTTCATTACTTGCTATCATCAGATATGAAAACTACCCATTACATAAATTAAAAATACTTTTTTTTTTTTTTTTTTTTAAAAAAGGGAGATGTATTTTAATATTTTAGAATCAATTTGCAGGATATATAGACCCAAAACTATGGAAAAGACGCACTTGCAGAACTCCCCTAACTAGTAGGCAAATAGGTGTTTCTACACCTGCTTGACCCACCCTGTATTGAAGGAACCATCGTTACTGCCTACGTGGTCCCTTTGGTCTGTAAGCAGGCGCAGCGTTGTGGTGTGTATGCAGCCAGTTGCTACAGATGAGCGCTCTTACAGAGCTGTGCCGTCTCCAGTAGCGCCGGAGGTGTCAGTCTTTGAAAAAATAAGACAGTTTGGCCCACTGCCTTTCATTTCTATTCAGAGAAGGAATGTGTCTCTGTAGTCTCATGGTTAAAACGCATAGCTATGGGATTGGTGAGGTGGCGTCTGAAACGGGCATCAAAACAATGCTGCGACCATCAAGTGTAAGTAAGTTGTTATGGGGACTCAAGCAAAGATATATAAGAAATCCAAAATATATATATTTTTTCACTTTTGGCAGCTCATCAGGTTCCTAAGGAGCATCTATGTACAATGTAACTCTTCCTGAGCATCCAATTCCCAGCTGAGGATTCAGCAGAAGCTGCAAAACCTTTAGGATTGAGCGTCATGTTCAGTGTTGCAGCACCTAAGTACCTTTTGACAACCTATCAACTTGGGCTCATCTTTGTCTGAAGCTTCTAATATGTTGAGGTAATTTTATCTGTAATGCTTTTGGGGTGTAAAATGATTTGTGGGGCAGATTGAGATTCTGTTATTAAGCGTATAGCAGCAAGTGAAATGTCGGAGGTTTTGTTTGTTTTTGTTTTTTAATTTGAAGTCTATCTCTAGGTGGCAGCAGGAGCAACTGTATTTATTGGAACAGACTAAACATGGTGATCACACATGTTATTAATTTGTGCAGCTGCATTTAGTGGCTATTAATACTGGAGAGAGAGTAAAATAAAAAAATAGTAGGGTGCCCCATATATAGGATATATAGTCTTCACATATACGAAGACTTCAATCCATGTGTTTAAATGCAAATTATTACTGATGTGGAATCTAATTTTTTAAAAGAGTATTTAAAGAAAATCATCACAAGTGCACATGATTTTTGCTATGCTTGCCATAATATGAGAGCAAGTATAGACTTAGGACACCTTTATTTTATAGGTTATCATTTTTGGTAGTATTACTTTGATCATGTTCTTTCCTTTCAGAGTTTGTAGGCTAGAGCACGGAAAATTCCTACAGATTTATCAACGTTTGCTACTAAAATACTTTCTTTTTTCTTTTTTTTTGCTATAAATAAAGTCTGATGAGACTTTTTATTGATTTAGTACTGACACTGAAGTGTTTTGAAAAAGAGACTATTTATGGACTTTTTATTTCATATTCATTTCAGAATTTCAGTGTGAAACTTGTAGTGGCTTTTGTAAAGTATGAGCCAAGGAAAAAAAAATACATACTCTAATATGAAAGTGAAAGAAAACCCAAAGAACTCATCATTTTCTTCAATAGTTCTTACATACAGGGGGTTTGGATTAGATTCCTTTCCACTGGAATCAGCAGAGGCTATCAAGGGTAATTTATCCGTACAATCAGCAGAGGCTATCAAGGGTAATTTATATTACAGGTCATCCGTACAAGTCTGAGACAAAACCTTTCAAGACTCGACATTCAGCAGTGGATGTTTTGCAGAAATATGTCTGGAGTGAAATACATAAGTTAGATCAAATTAAATAGACCTGCCTTCTGCTGTGTGAGATCTCTTTATATTGTACTTCTGGTTGGATGCTATATTTTTACTCAAACAGATAATTATTTTTTCAAGATGTCATTTAACTAACAGGATGTTGAATGGAAACAGATACTAAATATTAACCTTCCATACATTTTTCGGTAAAAGAGAACTATGTAGAAAAAAAGAATATATAACCATTAACTCAGTTAATGTAATGGACATTTTATTTATATGAGTTGGAACCACAGAATGATTTGGCTTTGTAAGTTGTAAATGATTTCACTTAGCTTTTATAAAATACTTAGTTGGCCAATGCATACTGTCCTGAAAGTCAACTTGAAATTTTGCATGATTTCATTGGAAAGAATCAGATCAGAACTCAAAAGGTTTTGAAAATCCTCACCATCATGGCTAAAATGGAAGCCTGGCATATTACATCGTAAATATAGATGAGATCAAAACTGGGTCAAAACAAAGGTCAGTCAGAGGATTTTTTATCTGTGATACTCATAAAAACATGGACAAACATAATCCAGAGTGTAATTTGTCAGTAATAACAGTACATTTCGTTTCTACTTACCTAGTATCTTCTGCTGAATTTAGACAGACAGAAACTTGTACACAAGAAGAGCTAATTCTCCCTGCTGGAGCAGGGAGTTTGGACTAGGTAATCTCTAGAGGTCCCTTCCAACCTCAACCATTCTGCGATTCTGTGATTCAATGAAAAGTTATATAGGTTTTACATTCTAGTGCATTATGTAGATGAATGTAACTAACTGAATTGATTTAGGGATCTTTTGGCATTAGTGATTTACATTGGAGGAAGAGCTGAAGTGCTCCGAGCAAAAAGAACCAGAAGTGAAACTAGAGCAACACTGAATCGGGCCCAACACTGCATTTGGTCAGCAAAGTGTGTAAGAAACAGATTCTGAGCTCCCTTTGAGAATTGCCAGGAGTGTTATGAAGTGGTGTGGATGGGAAGGAACCTGAAGATCCCCACGGAATAAAGGGAATAAAACTGATAAGTCACTCTGAAGTTTTTCACCTAAGAAAGAGATGTATAAATAACACTGAATATTAATGGTAATATTCTTTTTATTGTGTGGTATCTGAATCACAACTGACTTTGCGAAGGCTGTTCCTTAATCAGAAGATAGTGATGAAACGGCAGGGCAGGAGTTCCTTCAAGTGGGGCTTTGTACAGTAGAATAACATATAAAGTAAGTGAGAACATAAGGATATGTAGGTCAAATGGAAACTATATTTCAGAGTTGCTTTCTTGAGCTTAGATAGGGTAACAGTACTTGACAAAAAGATACTTAATTCTGAAGGCACTATATTAATTTTTTAACATAGATCAAACACATTAATTTAGTTTGTACTAAAAAAAAGGATTGATCTGAACTTACTATTCATATTCTTTGTCTCAGAAGTTGCTATATAGTTCATCAAGAGTAACTTCATATGAAAAATGCAAGAGTGAAAAGTAGGCATCAAGCTGTCTGCAGCATATTTCTTGTGGAAACAAAATTCAAAGGAAAAGTGTGATCAAAGACCTGAAAACTGAAATTAAACAACTTGATATACTTCTGTATTCCCAATATCCTGTCCCGTAGAGTTTCATGGTAGTCTTCAAAATAACCTAAAATGATATTTTTAATATCATTCGTATGGCAAGAAGAGATGGGGAAGCTAACAGCATTATGATGACAGGCCACCTACACAGTTGACCACCTACGTGTATGTCTGGTGGACTTGTCATGGCTGAACAAAGTTGCAAACTAAAATGGCGTAGAAGCATGTTTTATTTTGGGCTGCCAAGATACAGGTGTCTGTGCCTTTGACAGAAATGTCCATGCTTTGTATGGCATGCACTAGCTCACATATCTTAGGAATATACAAAAATATCTTATAATTCATCTGGCCTGTTTAGCCTGGAGAAGAGAAGAATGAGAGGGGATCTGATCAATATGTATAAGCACTTGAGGGCAGAATGTAGGGAGGATGGGGCCAGGCTCTTCTCTGTGGTGGCCAGTGACAGGACAAAGGGTAATGGGTGCAAGCTGAACCCCAGGCAGTTCCACCTCCATGTGAGGAAGAACTTTGCTGTGAGGGGGCCAGGGCCCTGGCACAGGCTGCCCAGAGAGGCTGTGGAGGCTCCTGCTCTGGAGATCTTCAAACCCGCCTGGCTGCCACCCTGTGCCGCTGCTCTGGGTGTCCCTGCTGGAGCAGGGGCTGGACTGGATGATCTCCAGAGGCCCCTTCCAACCTTAACCACTCTGTGATTCTGTGATCCTGTAACATTTACGGGATTTTTTTTCCTCGTATTGGGAAAAAAGGGAATATTTTTTTCACATTCCATCAGATTCCACTGTCTGTTACATTTTTGTTTCTTGTAATTACATTTTCTGTAGTTATAGACTTTTTATTGTATCGATAATTCCTTTTTGTTTTATGTAGGTTTGGTGTATACTTGAAAGTTCATAATATTTGGTAAAAAGCATGGAATGCGAAACTATTTGTCAGCCTTTCCCCACTACTTTGTGGATGGAATAAGTAATATTCTCAAATTTCATCTTAATAAGTATTTCAATGAAGAGCGTTAATATTTCTAATGTGCAGATGTATTTATAAGAAATGTGGAGCTTCTTTTTCTCCTAAAAAAAAATTATATTCTATTAATTCATTTGAAGAAGAGAGACAGTAAGATGGCAATTAAAGTGTTTTATTGATTTCAATTCAGAGCTCTTGCTTTTGG